TGATTGGTCCATCCAGGTGTTAAAGATGTCTGTGAGGACACTGGAATTTAGGGCCCATGATTGACATGGAATCCTGGATTAATCCCAGTTAATTCTTCTTAAAAACTAAAAAACGAAACACAACTAAATAATAATAAAAACTTGCAGTCATGCTCCGTTTCAGACGCACCCAGCTGGGCGCCATCATTGATGATGTCATCCCCTCCAACATTGAGGGGATTAACTAAGTGGTTTATCCAGCAGATCAACAGATTAATAATCTATCGTTAATCTGAACTATTCAGGTAAAAAACCTTTCAGGAAAAACTGGGTCACTGTATTAGACGCCTTTTCCTCTTTCTGATTGATTGATTGATTGATTGATTGATTGATTGATTGATTGATCGATTGATTGATTGATTGACTTCACTGATCTGACTGTGGAGAGATTTAATCGTTTCATCAGTTTAAATAGTCAAAGGCAGAGAAGAAGAAGGAGCCAAATGAAGAAAGAGGTGCATGATGGGATATAAACGTATATACAGGGTCTCCACATAGGACAGAATTTTTGGGGCGCTGCATTTTTATGCCCCCAAAGGTTTTTCTGCACTGCTGCTTATTTGAACATTTTCCTGTCAGTTAGTTTCCTTTGACATCACTATGTGTAATGACCCTTATGTGGCACTGAAGCTCGGGTACGAGCAAACTGACCTTCAGCTTTTAAAATCATCACAATCTTCCTCTTGACAGCCAGAACACGCCATGTCTGACAGTCTAATAAAAGCCATTTTTATTTCCTAATGAAAAACGCTAAATGTTTCCATCATTGTTGAAAAAAAAACTGATATTTTTAGAAACGTTGCCTAAATTTCACAGATTGTGAATCTAAATGAACTTTTTCAGGATTCAGAGTATAGATGATCATCTGGACCACAAGGAACATCACAGCACAGAAGTCTTAAAGCAGTTCTACATTTTTAGTCACTCTGATGTTTGTGATGAGATCTATAATAATCAGATGTTTAAACCTGTTTTTTAAATAGGATGTATTTATGGGTTCTTTTTGCGTTCATGGATAATATCTCCATAAGCTTCCGATCAGGAACAGATTCCTCCTGAAACATGAGAAGAAAACATTTTAAAGGAATTGCTGCCGTAAAGAATTCTTTACATTTCTGATGAAAGTTAATCGGCTGAAGCCTCCAATCAGCTCGATCAGCTCGTCACCGTTTGCTGCTTCTGACTGAATCTGGGGAAGTTTCTTCTCCAGAGGAATTTCCTAAAATAGTTGAGGAGTTAATGAGTGATGAAGTCAGATGAAGCGACATCTGAAAATGTTTCATCTCACTCAGACCCAAACAGGAAGGGAATAAAATGAGGGAATTCATTAAATATAACTGATGGTTAAACAGGCCAGTTATTATTAGTTCAACCTGAATGTTTGATTTTGTCTCATTTTACAAAAGAACTAAAACTGTGAAACAATAAAAAGGTGTTTTAATGTGTATCATTGACAGTAAATCATGGCTGATGAATCAGTTTCTCTGTGCTCCACCTGGTCTGGTCAGTTATAGATTTATGAATATAGATTGTTTCTGCTCTCCTGTAAAGTTTCAGGTCAGAGACAGAAAAGTCAGGCAGCAGAAATATCAGCCGAGCATCACAGAGATCTGATTCTTTTCCAAAACAGCCCGTTCTCATGTTCCCCCCCCCACATGTAAACATGGCAGAATGGATATGATTGAAAACGCTGCTTCCTTACCAGCATGGCGCCTGGACGCTGCCATGGCAACACATGACCTGCTGACCTCAAGGAAAAGTTCCGTTAATTCATTCATCAGTTTTATTCAGACGTTAAGGAATGCATCCCAGGGTTTAAATCTTCCCCCAAATACTCCGTTTCTATAGGAGAGATAGGAAGGGGCCCCCACTATCAGAGCCCTGATAGTGGGGGCCCCTCCCTGATAGTGGGGGCCCCTCCCTGGCCCCTGCTAACCAGCATTGGTACAGACAGGTGTGAAAGGAGGCCTCAGGTTCAGTCAGTGTCTGTCAGTCAGAGGTTCCTCAGAGAAAAGCAGATCCACCAGCTGAACGGGAAAAACATTCATTATTTTTATTTCTTCCATCAGATCTTCCTAGTTTCTCATCAGGTTGCTCCTTCACTGATGGTCTCTGCAGAGGATTCACACATTTGGTTGAAAATGGCGCCACCATGTGGCCATACAGCAGCCATTCACCTCAGTGCTGACAGGATCAGGATCAGCAGCTGGACCAGGATCAGCAGCTGGATCAGGATCAGCAGCTGGATCAGGATCAGCAGCTGGATCAGGATCAGCAGCTGGACCAGGATCAGCAGCTGGACCAGGATCAGCAGCTGGATCAGGATCAGCAGCTGGATCAGGATCAGCAGCTGGATCAGGATCAGCAGCTGGACCAGGATCAGCAGCTGGACCAGGATCAGCAGCTGGATCAGGATCAGCAGCTGGACCAGGATCAGCAGCTGGATCAGGATCAGCAGCTGGATCAGGATCAGCAGCTGGATCAGGATCAGCAGCTGGACCAGGATCAGCAGCTGGACCAGGATCAGCAGCTGGATCAGGATCAGCAGCTGGACCAGGATCAGCAGCTGGATCAGGATCAGCAGCTGGATCAGGATCAGCAGCTGGACCAGGATCAGCAGCTGGACCAGGATCAGCAGCTGGATCAGGATCAGCAGCTGGATCAGGATCAGCAGCTGGACCAGGATCAGCAGCTGGACCAGGATCAGCAGCTGGATCAGGATCAGCAGCTGGATCAGGATCAGCAGCTGGACCAGGATCAGCAGCTGGATCAGGATCAGCAGCTGGACCAGGATCAGCAGCTGGATCAGGATCAGCAGCTGGATCAGGATCAGCAGCTGGACCAGGATCAGCAGCTGGATCAGGATCAGCAGCTGGACCAGGATCAGCAGCTGGATCAGGATCAGCAGCTGGATCAGGATCAGCAGCTGGACCAGGATCAGCAGCTGGATCAGGATCAGCAGCTGGACCAGGATCAGCAGCTGGATCAGGATCAGCAGCTGGATCAGGATCAGCAGCTGGATCAGGATCAGCAGCTGGATCAGGATCAGCAGCTGGACCAGGATCAGCAGCTGGATCAGGATCAGCAGCTGGACCAGGATCAGAGGCTGGATCAGGATCAGCAGCTGGATCAGGATCAGCAGCTGGATCAGGATCAGCAGCTGGATCAGGATCAGCAGCTGGACCAGGATCAGCAGCTGGATCAGGATCAGCAGCTGGACCAGGATCAGCAGCTGGATCAGGATCAGCAGCTGGATCAGGATCAGCAGCTGGACCAGGATCAGCAGCTGGACCAGGATCAGCAGCTGGATCAGGATCAGCAGCTGGACCAGGATCAGCAGCTGGACCAGGATCAGAGGCTGGATCAGGATCAGCAGCTGGACCAGGATCAGCAGCTGGACCAGGATCAGCAGCTGGACCAGGATCAGCAGCTGGATCAGGTAACATCCCTGGACAGGTACTCAGAGCAACTGGATTCTGGACTTTCTGACCAACAGACCCAGAATGTCCGATCAGGCTCCAGCTGCTCCACGTCCATCACTCTCAGCACTGGCGTACCACAGGGCTGTGTGCTAAGCCCGTTTCTCTACTCCCTCTTCACCCACGACTGCCAGCCTGTGAACGCGTCTAATTCCATCATCAAGTTTGAGGACGACACCACGGTGATTGGTCTCATCAGCAACAACGATGAGTCTGCTTATAGGGGGGAGATCGAGGACTTGGCCACATGGTGCACTGAAAATAACCAGCTGCTCAACACCACCAAAATGAAGGAGCTGATCAGAGACTTCAGGAAAGATTCATCAGGCACCAGCGACACCATCCACATCAACGGAATGGCTGCTGAACGTGTCTCCAGTTTCAAGTTTCTGGGGACCCACATCTCAGCGGACATGTCTTGGTCAACCAACACCTCCTGCCTGGTCCAGAAGGCTCAGCAGCGCCTCTTCTTCCTGAGGACACTGAGGAAGAATCAGCTCCCTCCACTATCCTGGTGAACTTCTATCGCTGTGCAACAGAAAGCATCCTGACCAGCTGTGTAACAGTGCGGTACGGAAGCTGTTCTGTTGCAGAGCGCAAGGCACTGCAGCAGGTGGTGAAAGCTGCCCAGCGCATCACTGGGACTTCACTACCCACCATTGAGCAGGAGAAACGCTGCCTGCATGGAGCCCGCAGCATTAAGGACTCACCCACCCAGCCCACAGACTGGTTCCTCTCCTGCCCCCCAGCAGGCGGTTCAGGAGCTGGGGGGCAGGAGACTAGAGAACAGCTTTTCCCACAGCTGTCTTTACTGAACTCTAACCCTCACTGATAGACTCTCCCCTCCTTCCTCACACCTACCACCATTTTGCTTTTCTGTTTTTTTACAAGACTGTAATGTTAATCTGCACTCCTGACTGTTACCATAGTAACAACTCTTTACATGCATCGTGCACGTCGTGTACTCACCTGGACTGAATACTGATTTGAACTGCTGACTGTTTATTCACAGCACCAATTGTTTATATTTACATCTGCAATAACGTATTTTAACTGTAATATGCAATTAGCTTCCGCTGCACTTTAATTTAGATAGCTTCTATCCAAACTTTATTTATTCATTTTATAGTAAACCCATCTATATATGCTATAGGACATAACTGTAAAAACCCTTTTATAGTAATATCCACCTGTTTGTTATATTCTGTACATATCCAGCTGTAAATTTAGTTCATAACACTAGTTATCTATATATTATATTCATTATTTATAATATTCATCTCCATATTTATTCAGTAGAACCATGTCCTGTATTTATGGAACCATTATTTATTTATCCTGCATTCGCTGCTGTTGCTTCTGGTTGGACCTAAACTGCATTTGGTTGCCTTGTAGCTGTGCAATGACAATAAAGTTGATCTGATCTAATAAATAAACAATCAATCTCTTAATAAGAACATATTTTATTAACTTTTCTTATGCTTTCAATCAATAAAAATACAATATTTCTTCCATAAATTATTGACACACATAGGAGGGAGCGCTCCGCGTCACAGTTTACATTCGCTTGTTCTCAGCTTTAACAAACCAAGAGCATTCAGATACAGGAGGTCAGAGGTCAAATCTGAAGCATGTTGGTGGAGTTAGTGTCCCTTCACCAAAATACCATGGACAGCTCCAGTCTGACCAGTCTAACCAGTGGGGGGGCTTAGAGGAGCTGGAAAGCTCCCCAGAAGGTTTTGTCTCTCTCATATTCTCCCGTGATGTTCAGCCTCACGCTGTCGCCTCCATTCAGGCTGACGATGCGCCCCATCCAGACCAGGCCGCCCGCCTCCGCTGCCGGGACCTCGGCCTCCGTCTTCTCCTTTTTACCTGGAGACGGGTTCCTGATCAGCTTGACCGACAGGCCGTGCTTCTTCTGCCTCCTGAAGACCACCTGGGCGTAGATGAAGAAGCGGGAGCGGGCGGAGCTGTTGCTGATGTAGATGGAGTTCTGATGGAGGGACAGCGAGCAGGACGCACAGACCACATGTTCCTGCCATCCAGGATCATCCAGATCTGCAACCAAATCACAAACATTCCTTCAGTCCTGAGATGAACCTGCAGAGGAGAACGAAGATGTTTCCTTCCCTCTCTGGAGTTTTCTTTGCTTTGGGAAGATGTATATATCTATATATCTATAAATCTATATATATATAGATATATAGATATATAGAATATATAATCTAGCTCACCAGACTATGTAATTACATCTCAGCTAAATATAAAGGAGCGAGACGATGAAGGGCTTAAAAAACAAGCATTAAAATGTTAAAATAAATCCAGAAACAAACCAGGAGGCAGAGCAGGAAGGAGAGGATGGACTGATGGTCAGCCTGGACATGGACAGGACACCCACCACCATAGATCTGCTGCCATAGATCCTCTACCATAGATCCTACACCATAGATCCTCCACCATAGATCCTACACCATAGATCCTACACCATAGATCCACCACCATAGATCTGCTGCCATAGATCCTCCACCATAGATCCACCACCATAGATCCTCCACCATAGATCCTACACCATAGATCCTACACCATAGATCCTCCACCATAGATCTGCTGCCATAGATCCACCACCATAGATCCTACACCATAGATCCTCCACCATAGATCCTCCACCATAGATCCACCACCATAGATCCTCCACCATAGATCCTACACCATAGATCCACCACCATAGATCCTCCACCATAGATCCTCCACAATAGATCCTCCACCATAGATCCTCTACCATAGATCATCTACCATAGATCCTCCACCATAGATCCTCCACCATAGATCCTCTACCATAGATCCTCCACCATAGATCCTCTACCATAGATCCTACACCATAGATCCTCCACCATAGATCCTCCACCATAGATCCACCACCATAGATCCTCCACCATAGATCCACCACCATAGATCCACCACCATAGATCCTCCACCATAGATCCTCCACCATAGATCCTCCACCATAGATCCTACACCATAGATCCTCCACCATAGATCCACCACCATAGATCCTCCAGCATAGATCCACCACCATAGATCCTCCACCATAGATCCTCCACCATAGATCCTCCACCATAGATCCTCTACCATAGATCCTACACCATAGATCCTACACCATAGATCCTCCACCATAGATCCTCCACCATAGATCCACCACCATAGATCCTCCACCATAGATCCACCACCATAGATCCTCCACCATAGATCCTCCACCATAGATCCTCCACCATAGATCCACCACCATAGATCCTCCACCATAGATCCTCCACCATAGATCCTCCACCATAGATCCTCCACCATAGATCCTCCACCATAGATCCACCACCATAGATCCACCACCATAGATCCTCCACCATAGATCCTCCACCAAAGATCCTCCACCATAGATCCTCTACCATAGATCATCTACCATAGATCCTACACCATAGATCCTCCACCATAGATCCACCACCATAGATCCACCACCATAGATCCTCCACCATAGATCCTCCACCATAGATCCACCACCATAGATCCTCCACCATAGATCCACCACCATAGATCCTCCACCATAGATCCTCCACCATAGATCCTCCACCATAGATCCTCTACCATAGATCCTCCACCATAGATCCTCCACCATAGATCCTCCTCCATAGATCCTCTACCATAGATCCTACACCATAGATCCTCCACCATAGATCCTCCACCATAGATCCTACACCATAGATTCTCCACCATAGATCCTCTACCATAGATCCTACACCATAGATCCTACACCATAGATCCTACACCATAGATCCTACACCATAGATCCACCACCATAGATCCTCCACCATAGATCCTCCACCATAGATCCTCTACCATAGATCCTCTACCATAGATCCTCCACCATAGATCCTCCACCATAGATCCTCCACCATAGATCCTCCACCATAGATCCACCACCATAGATCCTCCA